GTCTTAATCCCTGATTGTGTTGGGATGAGAGTTGAATATCCTCTTTATTCACACACACACAGAGAAATCAGTAAGAGAGGGGAAAGACCCCTATTATTCTGTATAGAAAGGTGTTAGCTAATTTACTAAAACAAAAGAAACTTTGCTTGAGGGAGCAGAAAGTGAGATAGCTGTAATAATACCAAAATAATCATTGTTCCTCTGGGCCTGACAATGCTGGAGGAATACAACTCTGTAAGTGTGACTCCCTGCTATTGCGGGATCCAAGTCATGCAATCTCTGTCACAAATTACCAAATTCTCTCTCAGGATCCTCCCTCTAGAACAGTGAAGTATTTTAAACATTAGAAGAATTATTATAATTGTAATGTCATCTTGGATAACCAAAGAGAAACTATTTTCTTAGTACAATGAGGTAGCACTGGTTAATGCTGCATTTTTTCCATTGCCCTGGGACTGCTGGATCTTGTGCATTTTTAGCAGGTTTTTCCTATTTGTTCTGTGTTTGGGTTGTTTGGCATTTTTTTGCCTGAGGCAGCCTGGGCTATTTGATTAGCTTTCAAAAAGACTTGTGTATCAGAGGGAATAGGTCAGAGATGCTCCACTCTGGCATCCTTGGTGGGCAGCAAGGTCTGCACCCTGTTCCCCTCACTGAGCAGTTATTCCAGCATGAATTCCTGTTGCCCAGAGTTTCATGAGGTGCCATGACAATAAGCGTATTGGCACTGGTGCTTTTTCCTTGGAATATTTTTATTTGAAAAGAAATTCTGTCATCTGCATTTTTTTTTTTGAAGTGTTAGTGTCCAAAATGTTTGAAAAAGTACTGAAATCTCTTCCTAATATCCCAGTGCATAAAGGAGGAAGGAGCAGCCGGAACTGCTGGTTTGCTAGTTGTAGTTTAAGAGGGCAACCCTATTTTCTTTATGAAACATAAGCTTGGAATTTTGTTTCCTTTGGCAACCCCATGTGATATAGTCCTGCAGAAATGGAGTATTGTGTGATTGCACAGAGACAAGGAAAGGGGCAAAAACTAAGAAAAGTCATGACTCAGTGCTTGGTGTTTTCGGACAGCACCAATTTCGTCCCTTTCATACTAATAGTCCTTTATTCTCTCTGCCTTGTTTTGGTGTGACTTGCTGGGGTCTTTCAGCAGTGAGTTTAAGTTTTGCTTTAACACACCCAGCATCTCCAGGGGATGCTGTTGTTAAGGGAAGCTTGGCTGGAAGTTTATTCATAGAACGAATCAGAGTTATAACAGCGTTTTCTTACTGCCACTAATAATCATTTGCTCTATCAGCAAACATCAGATCTATGAGAGTATGGGTGGCTTCCAAATGTGATGATTCATCACCAGAGCTGTGATTTAACAGCAATTGCTCTTTAGCATTTTGCACCTGGAATTGTTGTTAATTCTCATATTTATCAAACAGCTGTAAATTGAGACATCTAGTTTGGAAATACTTGAGTGATCTAAAGTCTGTGAACGATGATTACACTCCAATTTCAGTGGAAGCTTACACTGATTTGATTAAAGTTCAGTTAGAGCCTGGTTCTCAGGGGATTTCGATGCCTTGGCATCACATATTTGATCTGTGAGTTATAAATTTGGGATTTCAATGCTTAATATTTTTCTGTCGTTCCTGCTGCTTGTTGGTAATGTTCAGACTGGACACAAGTAACTTGAAAGAGAGCAAGCTCTGACTGCTTACATGGCTGTTTTAGAATGAGTCCAGGTCATAACATGCTTGGGAAGTGCAATCCAAACAACAAGCACAATTCTGAACTTGAAGAAAATACTTTGTATTTCTTGTTCTGCCTTTAACAATCTGTACCAGTGAACAGAGCCACGTAACAGCAGCTGGTAGGAAGGAGCTTGGCTCTTTCACAGCCTGCATCTGATGCGCCTCTCATGTGGGAAGGGGGGTCCCAACAGAGCTTCCCTGACAGCTCCCCAAACATGAGTTTTTCCCAGTGCAGTGAAACCTGATCTTCTCTCTGCTGTGAAGCGCTGAGAATTCTTGTGTGTGGAAATAAGGGATTTAGCTTTAATTCCAGGCTGGCTTGGCTGTTCATCTCCTTCAGACTGCTCCTGAACTCTCACAGAGACAGGAGGTGATGAAAAGATTGTTGGTCAGGTTTCTGGTGACATGGGATGTGATTATTCCTGAAGTCCACAACTCACAGTAAAATTACTAAGAACAGTTAAATGTATGTCAGGCAGGCCAAAGATCAGAACGTGAATCTCTGTTTCTCAATTCTGATGATTATGGTTTATAAATCTATATATATTCTTAATTCTTTAGCACATATTTAGTACTTCAGTAAAACATAGTTAAAGCCAGAAACATTATTATTTGTATTGAGGATAAAAGCCACTTCCTCCAGTGATGAAGGGTTTTTTTATGCTGCTAAAAGACCCATATCAGAAACAAATAATGTTAAGTACTGTAATTGCTAGTCTTTCTCCACATTTGTGTTTCCTCACAATATTCTCAGTTTGTTGAAGAAACAAAGCACCAGAAATATTCTGGATTGACTTATGTCTATGTTGCTCATATAGTAATTATAAAAGGAGAAAACCCATTTTTTTATTAGATTTCTTATGGGTGCATTTTAAGAAGCATATGTTATATGATGCATTATACTATTCTTTAAAATAGGGAAAAGGGAAGATTTGTGGAGTCTCCTTCTGTTCCTCAGTTTCAAGAACTCATGCCTGATCCAGTTAACACACACATTTTTCATGTGAAGTTCAGTCTTGCTGTGCTGGAGGCCTTTGTCCCTCCACAGCATGCAGCCAGGGTTAGAAAGCTTCAGGTGGGGAAGCATGTGTGCCCGGCAGCACGGAGCCCAGGTGTTGAGGACTTCTTGGGGAGAGGAGACGGAACAGGCCAAAATGAAGAAGCAGATGTTATCTAGGCAGGAATTCCTATTCATTTTATTTACTCACCTGGCTGTTGAGGAAACCCTGTGACAATTTATGTTTTTAGCTGACAGTCTTTCCATAAGATTAGCTGTGACAAATAGGGTACCTTGTTTCCCAGGGAGAGAGCTGATGTTTGTTACTGCTGTGTCACTTCAGTTGCCTTTTACTCTTCCTCTGAAAGTAGTTTTAAATGAGGCAGACGTAGTATCTGGTTAGTTAACATAAATTAAACAGCCAGCTAAGATTTCCTTCCTTTGCCAGAGCCCTTAGAGCGCTCCTTGTGTTCTTTAAGATCTTATCCAGACATATCATGGCTTTTTCAATCCTGGTGTTGCATGACAGTTGGATCTGGCTAATCTCTATGCCCTTAATGACTTATTAAAGTGGGCAGCATCATTTAGAATTTATTTTATGCCTTGAAGCCTTCTTCAGTCCTTTAAATTATGAGACGACAGGGGCTACTGCTGGCAAAAGAGGTTTTGCTACTACAGAGTCATGGCAACTCAGAGGTTGTGCAAGCTGTGCCTATGTGGTAACCCTACACGTGCTAACACTATGGTGGGGATATCGTTTGAACAATGAGGTTTCGAATTCAAATTAAGAATTCAAATTATTGATGCAGTTATGTTAGGCATCATTTCCTAAAAATTAGCTTTATTCTTACTTGAAAGGTTACATCCTCATGTATTATTTAGATATACACTAGAACACAACTGGTGAAGGCAAATAGCCACATCATTGTTTCTCATGTTTACAGAATGGTACTTTCTTTGTGGATAGAAGGATAGAAAAGAAATATCCAGAAAAAAAATGAAGCAGCATCTGAGAGCAGGAACCTTGAGGAACTTAATTACATGTTAATAACCAATTTGTTATGAACCTGTTACCAGTTGGTGTACCCTGGCTCCTGATTTCCCTCTGCACTTAGATGTACTTATGTACTGTACCCCCAAATTAGCCTCACTATAGAGTATAAGGTTTGCACAAGAGTCTAGATAGCAAACAACAGCTTTGTTTACTGTCAGCTTTTGGACTCAAATTTCCAAAGCCATTTCAGGCCATATATAAACATTTTTGAAAATTCCTAAAATTTCTTTTCCAAAATTGCAGGATTTAGTGTAAATGACTATTTACTGTTTTCTCTTTCATTTAAGCAAAATTACCCACTGGACCAGTTCCAGAGCACAGACAAAACTTTTGGAGGCATGACTAGTATTGTAATCTGTGTTCCTTAGCAGAACTTGTAAGATAAATCAGGCAATGGTAGGTAGTGGGAGGGTGGACTAAGTTAAGCAATAAATACCATTTCTTTTCTATTCCCGATAAATGCTTCCATTTGACATATTTGACATTTATGATGTCCTTTCTTCTCTGTACAACTCCAAAATTGTACATCTGGACATGTCTGGAAATGTCTTTAAGATACACTTCTACCCCAAAATGTCCAAATGCTCATTCTGCTGTTCAATATTAAGAAAAACAGTCAGCCTTTTCTGGTTGAAGTGTTATTTTTCTCAGATTCCCGCCTTGATAATTTAGCAGCTATTTTTTTCAGATATTGTCTTTTTTTTTTTTTCATGCTATCCTACAACATCTGCTTCTTTTCATTCACAGTTTTTCTCCATTAAATAAAAGTCACTTTCATTAAAGTAATTTTACTACCTCATGTGATCCAATATTTTAATGAGAATTTATTAGACGCCTAGCTAATACAGAAGACAGTGACTGGCACGAATAACTGTGTTTGCTGATCTCTAAAATATTGAATTAATAGTATTAATTCACAGTATTGATAAGTGTTGGTACTAGAAAGCTATGTCCCTGTTGAACCAAAGCATTTAAAGCATGTACTGAAATTGCATGGTAACTTGAATGCTATATTGACCAGGGGGTTAAGAGTTGACTTAAACAATAGGAACTGAAATGAAACATTGTGCTGAACTGAGGACAGTGTTAAATTGACTTTCCTCACTAAAAAAGATAAAAGCTCCAGTGCCTACATTTATGCTATGTCAGTGATTTGAAAAGCTAATGAAAATAGTATTCCTGTTGTATGTTTTTTGTTTTCTCTCCAGGGATAAGTTTGCCAGGTGGTTTGGTCTACATTATTAATCAGTGGGGAGAGGCAGTCTGATGGCTTGTTCAGAGAGATGATGGTGAATCAGAACATTGCAATATGACTTTAATTGCAGAATACAAGGTAGGTTCGTTATAAATGAATATTTAATATTTTATCTCAAAAGACATTAAATAAGTTATATTTAATTTCAATGCTGGCCTTTTGTCTGTTTCACTTAGATAATGAATGTTAATTTTAGGACTGTTAATTTTCAAATACAGCACATTGATCTTGAAACACTCAATAAAATCTATTTAGCCATTCCTGATGACAAAACATGGATCTGACATTCTTGCACAGTGGTCACTGACATATAATCTATTCTGTTGCCTTACAAAATAAAACCAAACCAAACCTCAAACCTAAGCACACTAAGTAGAAATATATGTAATCGGGATAGTTTTAAAATTAACTATTTAAAATTGGTCTTATTATAATTATTATATTTTTATCTGAAATACTATGTGTAATTATATTTCCTATTCAGACTAGAAGGCTAGATTTCTTTCTCTTTGTTGGTTCTGGTGTATCCCTTGAACATAGACAGGACTTGGGTTGCTGAGTCATCCAATTTATATCAACTATTTACCTGCCTCCCATGAGCTATGTAATGCTTGCTTTGATCACATTCAAGATCCCCATGCTCTTAAACATAGTTCCCTCTTCACCATGCCTTTAAAATACAACAGCTTTATCTTTCAGTGAGGTACAGAGAGATTAAGTCCAAGTTCATGCATAGTCTATAGGAAACCAGGGTGTCAAAGTCTTGTCTAAATCCAAGGGAACGCACAAAGCACTGGACCTTCTTATGTCAGGAAGGAGGAGTTGACAAATTAAGTTTTGCCTAATGCAATTAAATGTATTAAAAGCTGATGAGTAATTTTGATGCGAAATTGTATTAAATAGTCTGGAGAAAAAGAGACTCAGGGGAGATAGCATTCTCTACAACTACCTGAAAGGAGGCTATAGCGAGGTGGGGGTTGGTCTCTTCTCCCATGTAACAAGCAATAGGATGAGAGGAAATGTCTTCAAGTTGAGCCAGGGGAGGTTTAGGTTGGATATTAGGAAGAATGTCTTCACTGAAAGGGTTGTCAAGCACTGGAACAGGCTGCCCAGGGAAGTGGTGGAGTCACCACCCCTGGAGCTGTTTACAAAACACATCGATGTGGTGCTTAGAGACATGGCTTAGCAGAGGAATTTGCAGTGCTGGGTAATGGTGAGACTTTATGATCTTAAAAGTCTTTTCCAACCTGAACGATTCTGTGGTTCTACATAGATTTAATGCTTGTTAAAGATGCCACACTGATTAACCAGAAGATGTGGGAATCCTATGTTTATCAACAGATACAATAATTTACAGATACAGCTATTGAAAACTTTTGTAGGCCTGAAAGAGATACTTTTCTACAAAAATAGGAGTTCATAGTCTGCACTTCGATCCAGAATGCTTGCATTACTGTTAATTGAGGATGCACTCTGATGGATTTATTCTTTCCTATCTCCTGCTCCATCTTCCTCTATCACAAATCAGAGTTTCCTCACTTTCACAGTAAGTTCAATGCTTCCTCTGTCTCCCCCATTATGCCCCTTTCTCATTTGACTCTCTTCAGAGACCCTACAATACTGTTAACCATTTCTCATTACTCTGAGCAACTGGCTGGGCAGGAGACTTGCTGCAGTTCACGTGTGTTCACTTGCTGCAGTTCACTTGCCCCTTTTTTCTTGTGAAAAGTGAAATCAACCTCCAATTAACTGTTGAATATGCATTCTGTTATCAATATATAAATTTAGTACATTATTTATACTACTATGGTATAGATGCAATATTGGAGGTACATAGGGTATTCTGCCACTATTATCTGTAGTTTGAAATTATGTACTCTTTGCAGTTCTTCCACATCTTCCTATGCATACTTAATTTTAAATATATGTCTTTGCTGCCCTTTCCAGTTCTTTGAACACAGTCCTGATAAGTATAACATCCTAGTCATTCTGTCATTTGGATTTATGCATGTATTATCTGAAATTACTTAGGAACTTTCAAAGGGATGTCATTTCCATCTTCTTATCAAGGTCTCAATCCTGCCTTATTAAAGACAATGGTAGTCCCATTTTCTTTACTAAGAACAATTTCCATAATACAATAACTTCTGTATAAGAAGATCTCTGTACATACATGCACATTTTGGAACAGCTCTCTGGACTGTTTAAATTGCTTGTGTTTCATTATATTAAGACAGTAGTTGAAGAATCATTATTGCTCATGGTTGCCATATGCTTGTGTCTTGTTTTTTCAGTCAGTGTTTATACTGTGGTACTCAGACTTTTTTTGCAAATTGCAATTTTGTAAGCCCTTGCTTAGCATTACACTAAGAGCTGATTCTTTGAGCAGCCGCATTGAAACCCATTGTTTCCTGAGGACCGAGTTACACCTTGCCTTGAAAAGCTGAAATTGAGTCCAAATGGCCCAAATTGAACTGAATGGACTGAAGTTGTAGACACTGACTTAAAACAGAATTTGGATATATCTGCACAGCCCCAGGCAGAGGGGAGCTGGCAGGGGCAGGTGCCACTTTATTATGCAAGAAACACTGGGGCAAGTCAGAAGCATTACTATGGCTTTCTTTAACACGGGCACAGGCAGATTAAGCTGGTAGCTTGCTATGAAGCCTGGAAATATACCTTTTGCTTGGAAACAGCATCCCATTTGCCTGAATGTTAAAGATGTTTAATTATTTAAAGATGCTTAAGTAAGTCAGTTACCTAAATATGCATGTGGGGAGGAAGGGAAGAAGAGTAATGACTATAGGATTTGGCCTAATACAGTTAGCCTGGGCTTTAATTTTTTACATATGTATTACTGTCTCTGGTTACCTTTCTGCAGTCATTGGTGGGTGTGAATCTGAAGATAGGTTTGGAACCACATATTAGAAATCTTTAATAGGGCAATTCTTAGTTAGCCATGTGAATACCACAGCTTTGCTAAAGTCAGGCTTTTATGTTGGTCTTCTCCAAGTCTGACAGAGTATCTACTTGCCATTTGAGTCCATTTAATAAAACCATGATAAAGTAGATGTTTTGAAACTTTGATCACCCTTCAATATCCACCAAAGATTTCATGGCCACCAAAGGGAAATATCTACCTTACACTGAATCATTTCAACTTGATGGGGTTTTTATGTGCTTTTTGCATCAACTTTTAACCTATTTTTGTTTTCTGCCACCCTTATACCCAGATGGGGAATTGCGTAAGTCTGCCATGAGTTCAGAAAGTACCAAGGTAACACAGGTCTTTGTTGAAAGGCATTATTTATTCGATCAATATTTAAAGTGGAACAACTGCCGAACTGCATAATTTGATAGAGATGGGTTTTGCTCTCTGCATACCTCTCATGCTTTCTTCACTTTTCAGAAGGAATGTAAGGGAATAAACACCAAATGCTGTGTTCTGGAAAAAATAAAAAGAGAAACAAGCTAATAGTACCTGACATTGCACATACATTTTCCTTGCAGTTTTTATGAGACTCTCCTGGGGACTCAGCAATATCTCCTCAGCCTTTACTGGCACACCAAGTTTGGCTCCCAGCATACACTAAGTGATGTGACTTCTGAGACACGTATTAGTTTCTCCTGGGGGTTGTGGTTATTCCCCCTATGAGCCCCTAGCAGACGTCAAGTTAGTTGTTGTAAGCAGTGGAGTGAGACTAGGTCAATTTGCTCTAGGTATCATTACTCCTGCTTAGCCTTCTTGATGCTTCTTGTTGACACTGAATGCCAAGGCACCTTCTGCCTTGAGTCTTTTATGGCAGCTCTTTAACAGCATCACGCGCAGTTATTACTGTAAGTACATCAAGATTAGGTTTATTTCTCTGAGCTACTCGAAGTTCACCATTAATATTATTCAAAACAAATTCTGTAAAATCAGCATCCATGCTGTTTTGCCTATGTGTTCTTTTCCCCAGATGTCATAATCACCTGTCATTGATTCAATTTATGATCTACAAATGCTCATTTGACCCTTTGTCATATCAATGCCCTGCATCTGTCCTTAGAAAAGCATACCTTCTGCCCTGCAAATACTGGCTCTTTTCTCTGTCTTCCTACCTATGTGTCAACTGCATGTGTAGGTGATAGGAGTATGACAAAGAATATGGAAATGCCATAAACCTTACAGCCATATGTCTCTGTCTACTCTGCTGGAGGCAGTCCTGAAGAGCCCTGTACCGCTGAGACCCCGGATGAAGATAGGTCAACGGAGCGGTCTGCCTTAGTCGATGAGGAATGGGTTAAAGACCAGTTGAGCAATCTGGATATCCATAAATCCATGGGTCCAGATGGGATGCACCCGCGGGTGCTGAGGGAACTGGCTGAGGTCATTGCTAGACCGCTCTCCATCATCTTTACAAAGTCTTGGGAAACGGGAGAGGTGCCTGAGGACTGGAGGAAAGCAAATGTCACTCCTGTCTTCAAAAAGGGCAAGAAGGAGGACCTGGGTAACTATAGACCGGTTAGCCTCACCTCCGTTCCTGGGAAAGTGATGGAACACCTTATCCTTGGTGCCATCTTAAGGCATATCAAGGATAAGAGGGTTATGAGGGGCAGTCAACATGGCTTCACCAAGGGGAAGTCGTGCTTGACCAATCTCGTAGCCTTTTATGAGGAAATAACACGGTGGATGGATGATGGTAGAGCGGTGGATGTGGTCTATCTCGACTTCAGCAAAGCGTTTGACACGGTCTCCCACAGCATCCTTCCATTGAGGAAGTGTGGTCTGGATGATCGGGTAGTGAGGTGGACTGTGAACTGGCTGAAGGAGAGAAGCCAGAGAGTTGTAGTCTATGGGGCGGAGTCTAGTTGGAGGCCTGTATCTAGTGGAGTGCCTCAAGGGTCGGTACTGGGACCAGTATTATTTAATATATTCATCAACGATTTAGATGAGGGAATTGAGTGTACTATCAGCAAGTTTGCTGATGACACTAAGCTGGGAGGAGTGGCCGACACGCCAGAAGGCTGTGCTGCCATCCAGAGAGACCTGGACAGGCTGGAGAGCTGGGCGGGGAATAACTTGATGAAATATAACA